AGGAAAAACAGTACGAGCTTGCTTAGCTCTCCAACATGAATCACAATGAGTTCGAGCAAAAGGTAATTTTGTGGAACTAAGAGTATCCCGTAAGAGAGCGAGCTTCTCAAAAGATGGATGTCCAAGGCGGTGGTGCCAAACAGCAGTATCAGCATGGCCAGCTGCAGCAAACGCATCGCGACCACGGCTCTCCAAAACCGTACCCATGCTGCCACGATCCAAATAGTACAATCCATCACGGAGTCTCCCCATCCCAATCACTGTCCTGGAACGTGAGTCCTGGAGAATGCAAACACCAGCCAAGAACAACAAAGCAACATCATGGTCCTGGGTAAGCTGACTAACAGAGAGCAAGTTGCATTTGAAGTCAGGAACAAGAAGAACACGATTGAGAGTGAGCCGATCATTCAATCGAACTGTTCCCACCCCTTCAACAGGCACACTCCGCCCGTTAGGTATACGTACGGGAGAGTAATTACCACTGCGCTCTACCCGATCAAGCCAACTAGCATCCCTAACAATGTGCTGATTGCAGCCGGAATCAATAAGCCATTCGTAAAGGTCAGAACGATTACCGGCCATGTGAGCGGATGGATCCGGAGTACCGGGAACTGGGGTACTGAAAAACTCCTTCAAGTGCGCGAACTGAGCCGCCGTGAGACCGGGAATGGGGCTGCTCTCATTCTCAACGTGGGCTGCCCTAGGTGGAGCTTCACCGGATGAACGACGTCGCTCACCTTGTTTTGCCTTTTTGGAGTCGGAAGTGGGGAAGCCATGCAGTCGGTAACATGTATCCTTGGTGTGGCCGAGTTTACAGCAGTGGCTGCAGCGTATGACCTCAGCAGAAGCGGCGACCTTCTCTTCTTGGACTTGAAAGGCGGCGGTGTCAACTGGAGGACGACGCCCAGCAGTAAGCTGCTGCTGCTGCTCGTCGTTAGCAACGAGCTGGTACGCCTCCGCAAGGGAAGGCAACGGTTTGGTGCTGAGAACTTGAGATCGAACGACAGCGAAGTTATCATCCAGGCCGAGAAGAAAGTCGAAGAGGCGCTCGGACTCTAGCTTGGCGCGTACCTGTCCCGCCACATCACACGAACATCCACCACAACTGCAACGTGGAGTCCCGCTAACAGCCTGGGACTCGTCCCAGTACGTCCTGAGCTGTGTGTAAAAAGCCGAGACGGAGGATTTATCCTGCCGAAGACCACCAATAAGTCTACGTAGTTCGTAGGCTCTAGTCGCCGATCCCGCACCGAATCGCTGGCGTAGATCAAACCATATTTCGCGCGATGTCGAGACACCACGCACGCTGTTCCGGATTTCTTTTGTCATTGCCGTCTTGAGCCAACCTTTAACCATCGCATCGCAGCGATCCCAGGCGTCGAGTCGGACCAGATCAGTGGCGGCGGGCCGAGGAAGAGTCCCGTTGACAAACGCAAGTTTGTTCTTCGCAAGGAGAACCTCCTTCATGTCACTAACCCATTCATTGTAGTTCAAATCGGTCAGGACATCACCACCAAACAGCTGACCCGGATTCTCACAGGATGAAGAAAGAGGGGCGAACTGAGGGGAATCAAGTCGGCGCCATTAGCGGCGACAAGCTTGCCGTCAGCCTAAGTATCGTCCTTGTCGCTCATGATTGCAGTAACGGAAGCTTTTGGCAATCAAACGATCAATGCTCCGATACCATGTAAAACTTGATAATGCGGAAAATAAAGAACACGAGATTTACGTGGTATCCTCGTTCTTAACTGAACGAGACTAATCCACGGGAGCAAGCTCCAGAGAGGGTTTTCACTATGATACGGCCGAATAGAAATCAAGGCCAATTGAGTTTACACGGCTGACTAGCAGCGGCTATTTAACCTAGGAGATTAGGGCATTAAGCTACCTAATTACAAGATAGTACTTATAATTTAAAGTAGTAGCTATTTACATCCCAACACGTATAGGATCACATGAGGATCGGAGAGCAATGTCGTTTAACGAGGAGAAGACATAAGAAAATGATATATCGGGAGTGGATTCAATTAAAAATTCAGATTGGAGTCCATTTGTGATCTTTGCTCACATGCACACGAGAGATAAGTGATATATGTGTTGTGTTTGTGTATTATATGATCTGTGGTTCTGGTCTGGTGGGTGGCTGGGTGCATGAGATGAGATGAGATGCAGCAGAATTCCAGGGAAATTAAACAGTTGTGGCTTTCCCTGGGCCCAGACCATCACGGCCCACAAATGCAATCATGGTTCTATTGCCATGCTTATTATTATTATCATCACCATTCTTCTTTAAGCCATAGGGGAGACAACCACATTCTTTTCACTAATATATGTCTACGAGACTAGTCTGGCTTCCAGTTCTGGTTAAACAATGATCAGAGATATATGATTATTGTTCATTTTCGATTTTGCTTTGTAAAGTATTACATAAGAGTTTTTGCAATAGACAATTTGATGTCAAACATTTATAAACATTAATGTGTAAGGATTAACCACCCATTTATGAAGACGATGTTCCGTTGTTTTGTTTTCATACCCGAAAATCAGGTTGTATATATATCGACGTGTCGTGAGTAATGAACATAATAAGATCGATGATAAAACCTTTTTCAGTCTCAAAATATACCGCCTCTAAATTTTGTCTATAATAAACAACCAAAATAGTTAAGCAATAGATGCTCCAACTAGAACTCACGACAAAGGGCTCAACCCTTACTTATACGAAGGCTCCAAATTAAATTATTAATTGGTAAAGAATTCCTCACCTCTAGTTCTCAGTTTGCATACAACTCTCTCTACTTAATTTTCCACATTATTTGTACTCATTGTTTGACAAGCATGTAATCCTTCCCTGAATTTTCAGACGTTATGGTATTTCCTATTTCAGATTTCTATTGGTTTGACTTTGGATTCAATACCATGAGTTCTTCAGTGCTCAGAGTTTACCTCAAACATTGGAGAGTTCATCCAATTTGGCGTGATACATAACATTTTTGTAGTCTTTACTGTCTCTATTATAATTTCAAATTTTTACCAATTATCCTTACTTTGTTATAATTTTATCAGTTTCTAATACTTTTATTACTTCTTATACAAATACCTCAGTATTAGAATTCATGCATGTCAAACAATGTATTTTTGCAACCCAACCTACAAATTATATGATATTCTTAAACTCATTTGGTTTTGATGATTGTTTGGTTTTGGGATAGTTACAATGCATGTATTGTCCACAATGCATTGTTTTTTATTTGAATTTTTTTGCACAAACAATACATGCATAGTTTGCTTTTTTTTGACAAATACATGCATAGTTTGCTTGATGCAATAGAAACTATCACTCAAAATGAGTGATAGTACTATCTCTACTAAAACTTGAGATTGTTGAGATAGTTTTGAGAAGATTGTTAGTTTTCTTTTTGTTCCAAGTATACCTCTAGTTATATATATGTTGTCATAAAAGCAAGGGTAAAAGTGATATTTCTCACAAAAAGTAATATAAGATGTTGAATACTAAAAAAACTATCATCAAAACCAAACAATGTAAAATACAATACATTATTTTTCTTAATTGCATGTATATTACAATGCATTGATTTATATCACCAAAATCAAATGACCCCTTAATTTACAATACATGTTTGTCAAACTCACCAAAATGTAAGGGTCGTTTGATTTTGGTGATTGTTGTATTTATTGTCTACAATGCATTGTTTTTTTGAATTTTCTGCACAAACAATACACGGATTGTTTGCTTGATTTGACACAAACTATCATTCAAAATGAGTGATATTTAAATCTCAAGTTTTTGGTGAGATTGTTGAGATTGTTTGATTGAGATTGTTGGAGTTTTTTCTTCTTCCAACTATGTCCCTACCTTTTTAGGTGTACTGCTTTTTTACATTGAAAACAAAGGGTAAACGTGATATTTCAAAAAAAGGAATATAACTTATGTAAATACTACAATAACTATCATAGAAACCAAACGATGTAAACTACAATACATCAGTTTTCTTATATACATGTATATTATCATACATGCATTAATAACAATGCATCAATTTAACTATCACCAAAACCAAACAACCCTAAGTATCATTACCATGATGTCTATCCTAACATATTGGACAAATGAAACCTTTAGAATTAAAATCTAGGACCCATAAATATTCCCAAACAAAAATTATTGGATAAAAATTCAATCAACAATCCTATTATAAAAAAAATATCAAGATGGTTTTTCTAATTGTCCTTGGAAAATATGATAATTTTTTGCTGTGAAAAGAGTAACAAATTGATTGATAATCAAATACCGACATACCCCAATCACTATCACCATCACCTCTCTCGAGTCTGAACATCTTCTCCTGGCCAAATTGCAGAATGATTTCAGGTTCATGGAACAAGAACAAGAATGCCTCCAAAACCCCAAAAAACAAACATGCATGAAAGAGGCACCGCCATTAATGAAGGTTCATCTATAGGTCAGTTGGCAACCTCAAACCTCTCCTACTCGTACTACTGCCCCCTTCTCCCCTCCTGAATACGAAACAATCCTTCTGCTAAATGCCATTTCTAGTCGATTAGGCTATCATTATCATTTGCCGAGTCCAATAATAAAGAGCCAAATGTGTGTTTGTTCTCGTTCATCATTCCCTATCCCAAAGCAAAGCAAACCCATGTGGTCCAGATCTAAGCACGACCTTTTCTTGTTCTTCAGTAGTGGTTGCTTTTGCATGCAGAAAGGGACACCTCAAAACTTCTTTCTTTCTTTCTTTCTTTCTTGTTGTGATACTAGCCTGCCTTGCCCCAACTTAGTAAATTCGTCCCTTAATTTCTTGAGCTGTTCTTCGTCAATAATAAGGACCAATGTTTTGTTGTTGTTGTTGTTGTTGTCTATGACGAAACAATAAATGACTGGCTGCAAAGAGACTTCCATCTTCATGAGAGCATGGATCGAAACCCTAATCATAGTGGTTAAGTGATCAAATCATCTACATTTTAATAATTTCATTTTATTACGACTCGAAATAACAATTGAGTAATGAAAATCCCAATTGAGGTTCGGGCAAAGGTGAGTGGCAAGAGGAGAGCCAAGCCACAAACTACTCGCCTAAGTTGAGTAGTTCAATTAAAGCCTGGTGGTAAAAATGGGCTCATATGTGGATCGACATATATCTGGTCCAAGCGGGTTCTAAGGGCCCAACTTGTTCCAGTCCGTTAAAACCAACCAAGAAGGGAATCAGAGCCCAATTGCTTATTTCCTCCCCCCTCAGACTTTTAGCCCAAAAATCATCAAGCCAAAAAGCATAATTCTTTGACTAATCAACAACATATTATCCATCTACCAGCAGAAAGTTTGGTATGGAACTCATGGAAGTGTTAAGGAATGGAGTCAGCCTGGTGCGACCTTGAGTATGGTTGTCTTATTCTACTATTTTGATTGTCTTAGTGATCATCAATATAATTATAAATACGTAAAATTGATTAGTTCTTATGAATTTGTCGAGTATTTATGAGAAATCATAATTTTTTTGACCAATAATTTAAAAGCATACACTAAGACGAATACAAAAATAGAAACAATAATACTTACAAAATAGATAAACACATAGATAAACACAAGGGAGCATATATATATAGGTCTCTTTCGGTTTTGGTCAAAGAGAAAATAGCATCTCAGTTCTGTACAATATACAAGAACGGACGACTTCCACGTACTAATTACATACTTGATACTACCATCCTCTCACTTTCTTTCTTGCTCTCAAATTACCAGACAAAAAAAAAAAAAAAAAAAAAAAAAAACCAAGACAAAACACGATGACACGACCTAGAGCTACGTAAAATTTACCAGCAAAAAGAAAAACACAAACACCAACTCCCTCATCCGCCAATCGATCTCTCCCTGTTCTTCTGCCCTGCACGCAGAAAAACAAAATCATCTCAACCTCAAAATCCATTTTAAATCACGGAAAAACTGAAAACTAAGACTTACTTATACAGAACAGGAAAACGACGAAGGAACAAATTTCTACCTGTGACGGGGGCTGATTGATTAATCAATTGACGGTGGTCTTGCGGCTGAGAGGGGAGGAAGGCAACATCGGTCTCGTCAACAACACCACTACTCCATCATTCATGATCACCGGCGACGAAGCCGCCGCAGCCACCATATTCTTGATCATCAAGTTATAGTTACTATTGTCAACCCCGGAGCCGGAGCCGGAGCCGGAGCCTTTTAAAACGTCAAGGAAATCCTGGCCAACATGCGAATCCTCCTCCCGAATCCGCAGCACCTGGCTATGCACATACCCTTTCCTCTCCGGCGACTCCCCGTTACTCCTCCTGACTGTCGTCATCTCTCTGTTGTGATTTGTGAATCTGTGATCAGCGGAGAGAGAGAGAGAGAGAGAGAGAGAGAGAGAGAGATTGCTTTTTTAATTAATGTATGGCTAATAATGGCTGAGAGAGGCAGGTTGGGGGGGATTATTGTTATTTATAGGCAGCTGGGGTCGACCGTATACCTACGGCTGCTTATTTGTGTGTGTTGTACTTGTCTCTGTTCTAACCTTAATTAAAAAACTAACTGTTGTTTGTGGGTTGTCGTCCGTCGTGTCGCCGGGAGTCTTGGTCTTTGATATCCGGTAGGAGAGAACTTTGGGCGGACACGTGGCGGGGGGTCAAAGTTTGCGAGAGAAAAAAACGGCTATCCCCACGTGTTGACTTGCTGATCGACATGTTACGTGGTTGGTTTGCAATATTTACTACTTTCAGACGCCAACAAAGACGGGGACTTTCATATTGGATAAGCTTACGGTACGTACATTCATATTGGATGACAATTGCACAAATTCATGAAGAATATTTTGTCCAACTCTATATATGGGTGGTTTAATATTCAATTCAATTAGATTCAATACCTAAATTTTTATTTTTCTGCATATAAGTCCTCACCCGACTTTCACGGAAGAGATTAGCATAAGTGATTGGGGGGATTGCAGGGTAAAAAGAAAGCTTGGATTGTTCAAACATGGTAATCGAATGCATGCACCCCCCAGGTTGTTTTTGACGTTGTTAGGTTACATTTTGTATATACGACGATCACATTTGATAAAATTGACGTCGTTATAATTTTTTTATCATTGCACCAATCCAACAATCGGATGGCTGAATTCTATTTACTCATACTGACATCGATCATTATGGCAATTCAACAAGATCACATGCAAGAAAGCTTTAAAAAAATGATGGCTCTTGTTTGTTACACTTGTGAGTTCATTACAATTAAATAACTATTTACAAGAGGGCGGAATGGTTGTAAAAAAACTCGGGTTGTTCAAACGTTCCATATCTTAGTCGATTGAACGCATTATAATCAAATTCAACAGTAACATTTATATATATGTTGCCGTAAAGTTATTCTTTACCTTATTGATCTCTGATCTTTTGGTACGTTGATGTTACTATTCAAAATATAGTTGCATCAATGCAACGATTGCATACTTGTCGACCGCGATTCAGCATACATAATCAAATGTGAAACTATAAATCAGTCAAGTTGCGATGGGTGGAGAATGATTGTAGAATGATAATGGAACATATATCCACGTGGCTGGGTGGTGTGAGATCTTGGATGGCGACATGTAGGATACGTCTGTGAGTGGAACGGTATCTCGTGGTGCATGAGGGGATCCTGCAAATCTTAATTACTTGGTAACCACTAACCAGGTGGCAGTGGCAAGCGCCAAGAGATTTGTATTAATTAACTAGCTAGTGCCGTAATTAAGGCAGGCTAAGCTAAATCAATGCTTCAAAAGCCACCACTGGACTTTGATCATGATTCAGTAGTGCGGTCGTCAACTTCCCCACCTAGAAGAACTGAAGAAGAAAAAAAAAAAAAAAGTTTGATTCGGTGTGACCCGGACTATTGCACACTTTTAAATATATCAACATAAATGAAAATGGGTTAGATTGTTGGGCTGGGTATCTAGGATTGGCTGGTGAAAGTATGCATGCAGTTGAGAACTTGAGCCTACAAAGAGAGAAGCCCATTTATCTGCTGGGCCTAACTGATTAAACCACCAGTCTTCCCGCTTTCTTTGCCCTAACTTCCAACTCTCCCAGTCTTTGATTTCCCACCGGCGAAGAACAGGCAGAGCAGAAACTTTCCCTTTACTGGCCGCCGCCGCCTGTCTCAGGTAGTACTGAAACCTGGGAGCGGGGGTAACTGCAGCAATTGATCGGCGGCATGTCTGCAAAATGGAGGGCACTGCAGCATCGTCACCGTTACACATACAACGCCGTGATTTTCCCGCCCTCATATGCAGACACCTTGTCTCGCTCTCTCTTAGCATCCAACTCCAATCCAAAGTGTTCGACTTTCGTCCAAGACCTCAACCATTTGATTTCGCTGACTTCCATCTACACTCAAGTAGCCCATGCCAAGACCCTTGCTTCTTCCTTCTCCAACTTAGTTAGAGATAGTGAAATTGACGCCAGTCTTCTGGAATTAGCTTCTCGTTTTTACTTGGAAGTTCTGTTCATGGAGAACTCGCCCCCTCTGCATCGCACTTTAGTATCTGGGTTGTCGAGAATTAGCGACGGCGACAGGCAATTTTTGGTCCGCAAGTGTTTTGGAGAACTCTGCAAGGAGTATAATGGGGCGCTGGCGAAGAAGAAGAAGCGGTTCTGTTTGTCGAAAGTGGCCTTGTCTTTTATGGGTATGCCCAAGTTGGGTTATTTGGTGGAGATAATTGAAGATTGCGCAATTCTGGTTGCTTGGGATGTAGTTATTGGGTTGGAAAGTGTGGTTTCGGAGACTGAACAGCAGGCTAGGCCGTCTCCTGTTGTTCTGGAGCAATGCCAGGATGCACTGTCTTGTTTGTACTACTTGCTTCAGCGGTTCCCAGGAAATCTCAAGGATTCGAATAATGTCGATGGTGAAGGCGAACCGAAAGTTTTGGAGAGGGTATTTAACGTTTTGATAAGTGTGTTGAAATCAGTGGCTTTTACGAGGGATTGTTTTGTGGCAGCTGGAGTGAGCTTGTGTGCTGCTTTGCAAGCGTCTCTCAGTGCTGAAGAGCTTGGGTTGCTTATTGCTCAAGGTATTCTTAAACAGTTCACTTCATGTTCTCTGATTGATAAAGGCGACAATGGAGTGTTTAGTGATGCTTTGCAGAAGGTTCCATACAAAGGGGATTTTTGTCAAGAAGTACATAATTTATCTCTTTTGAGCAGGCTTTGCTTGATTAGAGGGATTCTTACTGCTGTCTCAAGGACAGTACTTACTAGGCAATTTCTGGTAAAAAGCGGTAAACGCGAGGGATATGAAGATTCTGGCTCCTCTGTCAAGACCATTTTGTATGATGGTATCTTCCTGGAGCTTTGTAACTATTGTGAGAACCCTTCGGACAGCCATTTTAATTTCCATTCGCTTACAGTTATGCAAATTTGTTTGCAACAGATGAAGACTTCAATTTTGAGTCATCTGACTGAGCAATCAGGCGACTACAATCCAATCCCAGAGGACATGCGGACCCGAATTCTGAGGATTATATGGAATAATTTGGAAGATCCTTTAAGTCAGACAGTGAAACAAGTCCATCTAACGTTTGATCTTTTCCTAGATATTCAGTCAACCCTTCATTCAGGAGTTGACAGCAAGGGTATCAAGCCATTTCTTGTAAATATTGCTTCCCATGTACTACGTATGGGGGCTCGTTGTAAGGGAAGATATGCTCCCTTGGCTTCACTGACTAAGAGGCTGGGAGCACTGGCTTTGCTGGACATGAACTCTGACTTGATGGATGAAACAGCACAAGCGTACTTAGATGATGATGTGTGCTGTGCTGCCACATCTTTCTTAAAATGTTTTCTTGAAATCTTGAGAGATGAATGTTGGAACAATAATGGTGTTGAGACAGGTTATGAACTTTACAGAGGATATTCTCTGCCCCCTTTTCTTAGTGGTCTTGCTTCTGGAATATCAAAGCTTCGCTCAAATCTCAACACTTATGCGCTCCCTGTTCTGCTTGAAGTTGATGTGGATAGCATATTTCCTATGCTTGCTTTCATCTCAATCGGGCCAAACAGCATGGAAAGTGGAATTTCACATCCTGAGCTTACTTGCTGGAACTTGGAACTTGGGATTGGAGAAAAGGTGGCTGTCTTAATCTCTTTGCTTAAGGTATCACGTTCACTTGCGTTGCTGGATGGAGATATTGATTTATCTTATACCAGTTCAGATGATAATGTTCCACTAGATTGTGTAAAGGGAGCAGAACTCGTGGGTTCTTATGGTATTGTATGCATTAAAGGGATAATTGTTAAGGTCCCTGTCGACTGGCTAGTAATGGCTTTGACTCATGTTGATGAGTCACTTCGAGTGGATGCAGCTGAGACTCTTTTTCTGAATCCTAAGACATCTAGTCTTCCTTCTCATTTGGAACTCGCTCTCCTCAAAGAAGCTGTGCCACTGAACATGAGAAGTTGCTCAACGGGGTTTCAGATGAAGTGGTCAAGCTTGTTCAGGAAGTTCTTCTCTCGGGTTCGAACTGCATTGGAGAGACAATTTAAGCAGCATGGCTGGAAACCTTTAGGCAAAATAACTGAACCGTTTTCAAACGGGGAAGTTGGCATTGAAAGGGCAGCGGATCTTTTTAGTTTTATGAGATGGCTTGCTTGTTTTTTATTCTTCTCATGCTATCCCTCTGCCCCTTACCGGAGAAAAATCATCGCAATGGAACTCATACAGATTATGCTCAATGTATGGTCTATCAGACCTTCGCAGGACGACTCTGGGAGCTGCCTGCATCCCTACAGTAATTCCATCAGTTCACCTGATTCAACCTTGTTGCTGGTTGGATCTGTTATAGATAGTTGGGATAGGCTCAGAGAGAGTTCTTTTCGTATTTTGCTTCATTTCCCTACCCCGCTTCCTGGCGTCGAGTCTGCTGAAATGGTCAAGAAAGTAATCATTTGGGCTCAGAGATTAGTTTGCAGTCCACGGGTGAGAGAAAGTGATGCAGGTGCACTAACTTTAAGGCTCATATTTCAGAAGTATGTAACGGAGCTAGGATGGACTGTTAGAGCTTCTGTTAATGTCGTATGTTTTGAGAGATCATCATATCATCAAGTATCCAATGGGGCTGGTGGCCAGATGGTTCAACCTTCAACTCCTGTTGTGGAGTACATTAAATCTTTGATTGATTGGTTGGATGCTGCAGTGGAAGAAGGGGAGATAGATCTCCATGAAGCTTGTAAGAGCAGCTTTGTTCACGGGGTGTTGCTTGCATTGAGGTATACATTTGAGGAACTGGATTGGAATTCTGAGGCAGTCATGTCTAGCAGCTTAGACATGAGATCTGCATTGGAGAAACTCTTGGATCTGGTTATGAGAATCACAAACTTGGCACTTGGTGTGGTTTCTGCTGATGCCTGGTATATGCCTGAGATGGATGAGATAGATGATGAA